AAAAAAAAAAAAAAGAAAAACCTTTTTAAAAATCATTTTTTAAATGAAAGATTTCCTTCAAGTTCAAATTTAAACATCTCTACTTAATATGTCATTATCTCTATTCAATATTTAATTTTTGTTTTCAATAATCTAAAATTATATTTCAGTTTTTTTTTTTTCAAAATCAACAAAATTTTTAAACAAGTCTATACTAATTTTTTCAACAGTTCCTTAAAAAACCCGGACCTGAATTCAAATTTGGATGAATTGAAAATGCATTTAAAATTTGAGCAACGTAATTTTTATCATTTCTTAAATTGATTACATAAATAAATAACACTAATGTGTTTTATATATTTTTCGTTTCACAAAATAAAAATAAAAAGAAAACGTACAATTTCTACAACTTTTATAAATAATAAGACATTGTAGAACAACAAAGTTCATAAAAAATAATAATTAAGTATTATATAGTAAATAATAATAAGTAAAATTGTTATTTTCTCTTATATCAATAAATAAATTTATACACTAAAATCAAATTTATATTAGTATAAATGTGTTAGTGAGATAATATAATATTTATTTTACAAACTAGACCTAACATGCTCATATTTAATGTTCGGGCTAAAAAAACAATGTTGATTATAAGAGGTGATAAATAAATTATAACTTTATTATTTTCTAGACTTAACGATGATTAAAATAGGTGAAAAATTGATGACAACTCTATTACTTTTTAGAGCTAAACGGACAGAGTATGTGAAAATAACTCATTTACTATCTATGTCCCCTGCATCGCACGGGGTACGTACTAGTTTTGTTGAAAAAGAACACTAATATTTAAGAGTTTCATTTATAAAAAAATCTGCCATGAACCACGAAAATTGTTTGTATATTTAGTGTAGAGATTTTTCTTGCTAAAACGTTTTGATTAATCTAATTTAATTTATATTTCTAATTTATAATAATCAATTACAAAAATAACATTTCATTATTGTACTTATTAGGTGACAATTAAAATGTTCACCATTCGATTTTACCTACAAGTAAATTGAAATTTAAATAAACATATGTAAATAAATAATCAATTGAATAAATGATACGTATAATTCTATAAAATCGTTCTTTTTTTTCTTCTTTTTTTTTTTGTAAAAGAAATTAGATTTGATATAGTAGATGATTTTGTTGCAAACCTGTTAGCTTTACAAATGATTTTGAGACTCGTCTTCGATATTTCCGTCTAATCTCGCAATGATCGGATGACTTCATTAAACAAAAAAATGAGACCCAGAAAAAATAGCTCCGGCCATTTTAAAATCGAACAAAAAAATCATGATTAAGGCTATGTTTGGTAAAACTAGCTGATAAGCTAGCTGATAGCTGATAAGCTAGCTTATAGCTTATATGTTTTTTTAAGCTTATAGCTTATAGCTTATGACTTATAGCTGAAAAGCTAGCTTATATGATAAAAACTTAAAAAGTGTTTGATAAATTAGCTGATAAGCTAGTTGAAATTAAAAATTCAACTAACTTATTTGAAAAGCTACCTAAAGTAGCTTATGAAATAAGCTCGAGCTTTTTAAAAAAGCTCGTCCTACCAAACGAGGCTTATTTTAAACATGGAGCTTATAAGCTAACCAAATAAGTTATAAGCTAGCTTATTTGGCTTACTAAACATACCCTAAGAGTGTCTCGCATACCTCAAATATCGGATGAATTTGAACAAAATTAATAAGAAATATGCAGTTTCAATACAATAGTAGTAAGAAATTTTGAAAATTAGATATGGAAAGAGATAAAATTTTCAGATATTAACCCGAGAGTTTCGAAAGGAAGCAGTGTAGATCAAAAAATAAAACCTACTGCCCACAAATTTTTTGTTTATATCCGTCGTTAATTACAGTCGTTGGATCATTTGAGTTAAAATAACACGAATCGCCCGATTCAAGAAATATTACAGAATAGGCCAAAATAACGGGCTGTTAAATTTTGGGTTGAAATGGTATTAATGTGGGCTGAAAAAATGGTACTGTTTTTGGGCTTAAATTAACAGGCTATGATATTTTTTGTCAAATAGCCTAAATCTTTCTCAGCAAAAATTATTGAGAAAATTACAAACTTT